TTATTATAGTGCCAAGAAGTAAGACAAAGTCTTCTTCATCAGAGAACCCGAGACCCCGTCGCGACAAGTTCATACTCGAAAATTGACGCTGATGATCTCGTCCCTTACTCAGAATGTATTGTCTTATTTCAATCAAAAGAAGGAATCGTGTGATTGTCGTTTTTGTATCCTATCCTATTATTTGACAATGATATTTGGATTTATTGATCTGGAGATTGTTTTGGAGGAGGAGGGAGGAGAAACAAGACGACGTGATGGAGAAACAACATGAGAACGGAGTGTAAAGTCTTGCTGCAACTTGTTCCATTCCAATCTCTCAGAAACCGCTCTTACAGGTATAAGGAATTTCGGAAAACTAAGTGTTCGAAGCCAGGCCAAGTCCTTTAAACATATGGCATGAGTGTGACTCTGTAAGGTTTCCTACCTAAAGAAAAGATTTCGATCAAGGTTGGGTTGATAAAAAAAGATAATTTGGGATATTGGTTCTGAAAAGTACAGCGATCCCACTGTTACCAAGCAAATATATCACTGTATAAACCAAGTATCGTTTTGTTAATAATATCTAAAAATTATCAACTTGTAAACGTTATACGGTGCAAAAGAAACTTTTATGCTAAATATGTTGCAGTTTATGTCGTCGACTTGTTTGGCTGTGTTGTAATTGTCAGTTACCAACTTTTCAGATATTTTGTGTCGAGTTTCGTATTCAGAACGCGCCAAGTATCTCTTTGGAAAATAGGCGCTTTATTCAATTACTCTTAGCTAACACAGTTTCAGTGGAGACCTCGGCGCCTCGTGCGATTCCTTCATCTTCACCTTTTGCGTACCGTCATCAGAGCTTGTCCTACCTGACATTAGCATTAACAAAGTTAAGCACTGCGAAACTTCAAGTTTCTCCGTACTGTCACAGACAAAAATCTTGCAAAAACAGCCACAACAGCAATGACTATTTCCAAAGGTTTGCACACGATTTCCAACGTTTGTGGACGTACTACTCTGATGCCCGAGGGCATAGTCCGTCTCACTTAATCTCGGCTTAAATACTGGCAAATTCAGGAAGGAGCTGGCTACCGGAGTAATTGCAGCAGGGATGGTTACTGACGTCGTAGATGAAGTTATAGAAATCTACCGGGGTAATTGCAGTAGAGGCTGCTTACCGACGTAGTAGTGGAAGTGGTGGCAATATACCGGAGCAGCCGCAGCGCTTGATTCATACTTAGGCAGTTATAAATATTCGGTGAAGTAACGAATTTAGAGTAAATGGAGGAACCAAAAATTGGAGAATTGCTAAGACGTGCTATTTCAATATCCGAATAAAACGAGTAAGGTTGACATTACGCAGTTATTCAACCGTCGTTTCTCTTCACCGTCCTGACTTGAGGTGTTACGTTTAACTACCTGGTTGTATATTTCAACTGAAAGAATCTGGGGATTCAATCAATTTATTGTCGCAGTCCCACCACAGGAGAGTGCCTTCTAACCAGACCGACAGAAAGGAGCTCCGGCTGCCGCACGAGCGACACTACTCAGTGGGTTGTCACTGGCAGAGGTGTAGCGAACGCAATTTTTGTTGGGGGGTGTGTGCCAGACATTATTGCGTAGACTTGGGTAACCGGCTTGCCTTAATGTATTGGTATTATTAGGAAGCATAAAAGCGACGAAAACCAAAGCACAAACAAAAGACAAAATAATGCTCTTCAACGTGGGCTATTCATGGATTCTGACTATGTGTTTTATTTAATAGAATGAAATATATACAAAAGCGTGAACACGTAAATTGGTAAATAAGATCCAATTTTCCATCGTGAACACCAAAAGCTAAAAATGGCAGAATGTCCCATTCTCTCACCGGCTTTATAGTGTAGCAGCAATTTATTGTTTACTTGACTTCATACTCATCTTCAATGCATGAAAATATTTGACATCCTTTCGCAGTTAACAGCACAGCATCTTTTGTGCACAAACCAATACAACCTTGAAGTTCCTACCCGGGGTGAGGTCACTGATGTAATTTGCTAATGAATGTAGAAATATCGATTAACATAAATTCAAATGGGTAGAAAAATATCCTTTAAAAGTAGTAAAACAAAAACTGACACTGAAGTCAGCAGAGACAAAAAAATGCATTGCAGCTACCCGTAAAAATGATATGCATGTGAGTGAACAGTGCACTTTACATACACTTCACTATACAATTAGAGACACCAGCAAATTTTGTCATGTATGTTATCAAAGATGACACTTAACCCTTTCAACTGACAATATTTAAGAGCACCTCAAAGGAAAACATGTTTTCTCTGATTTTACCTGTTCCAATAAATTAGGAAGTATCCAAATCGAATGCAGTGTCATTTTGTCTTCAGAGCTCAGCTATAAGCTAATAAGGGCATTTTTTCTGCTTCTGCCAAGATGCCAATTCAGAATGTAGATTGCGTCATTCGGAGAAAACAGAGAAAATGAGGGGAACCCCTGCCCTGTGTCTGTAGTGGATAAACCCTTGTGCTTGCCAAACGATGGTTACATGCATTGCTTAGCATGAACAGAAAAAAAACCTTTTCAGCTTGTCATAGTTGAGCTCTGTAAACAAATGACACTACGTCCAATTTGGATGTTTCCATATTTATTGGAACAAATAAATTCAGAGAAAACATGTTTTCCTTAGAGGTGCTCTTTAAGGTTCCACAACCAAGGTATCCTCTTCAAGCTCTCCAAATACAACAAGTATACAGTACCTCTGACATAACCTAGCAAAGGGTAATGTTTGTACTATAAACCATAGTCCATACTGCTTCATTTGTACTGCAGTTTTCCCCATCTTAAAAATGCTTAAGTTAAAGCTCTGATGAATAACACATCTTGTTGGTACATGAACCTCTTGACTCATTGTACATGGTTTAATCTTTCCCTGCGAAATACTAGTTCGTTATTCCTTATGGTGTACACTTTGACACCATTTTTCATTTTCTGGTTACATGCATTTTGCTTTACTGGAATTAAACAGTGCACTGACTTCACTCTCATGTTGTGACAATAAGTTGCATGCTGGCAACTGCATTGCTTAAACAATGTGGACTCCCTGTAACACGTCATATTTCTTTGATTTAAAATCACATCTTATTATGTTGACAGGTCTAGCCATATATGGAAAATATCGTAATTTATATTCATTTTCATTGAATATTGCAAGCCACAAACAACATTCTTTATTGTAAAACACTGCTTTTACATTTTAAGAGTTGACATTTTTACACAACTGACATAAAATCTGACTTTTTCATTGAAGATGGCTAAACGCCCAAAGAAGTCTTTGAACTTATAACTGAAGCAAGTATGGCTATAAATAGCTGCTGCATTTGTTTATCTGAAACTCCTCAGCTATATGAAAAGAGTCAGTAAATTTTCAGATTCAGATGGCCCTGCCTATGAGGACATACTGTACCCCTAAAACTATACTCCAATTAAATTTGTGTACAGCATTCATGCTAGCTCAAGAGCTTGGGTACAACATGTTTTACATATTTTAAATCTATTTTGGGAATGTGCTTGCTTGATAGCTGCTCTTTTCAGCTGTGAAATTAAAGAATAAACTCTGATGCACAGCAACATCCTTTGTTTATGTGTCCTTTTAAATGCATTCCTGCTTTATCACAAAATCCATAGCTAGTGTGCAAAATGTTTTCAAGGAAGGATCCTGTACCAATTTGCTGTGGGGGGGGCAAACATTTGTGGAGGGGCCAACGACGTTTAACAATTTTTGTCACTAATTTCTTTTAGCCTTTCTGAAGGGTGAGGCTACATTCAGGAGCTTTTTACACACTCTTTGAGGAAGGGGAAACGAAACAGACCAAAAAATACAACTGTCATCATTTTTCAAACAAATTTTCAGGTGGGTTCCTTTGAGGGGAGGCAATGGCACCCCCCCCCATACACCCTCAAAAACTATGCAACAGATAACAACACGATACTGTTAGAGTGAATACACATGTGATCACAGTGCATCACTTGATACTGGCTTGCATTCACATCTTGCCTCCTTCCAACTTGGGAACAGACTGTATGATGGGTCTCCTGAAAATTTGTTCGCAATCACAAAGTCCCATGTATTTTGGTGTAAATGGAATAAAAGTTGCAAATCCTTGGATCCCATAACCTTTTTAAAAGAGTATGCCCTTGATGCCTTTACAAATTTTTTAGTTTATATACACTTGATATATTGAACTTTTTTGACACACAAAATACACATATTCAATGACTAAAAAGGTAACAAAGGTTTTTGCCAGACTCCTAATTGTGTGACACTATTAGTTATCACACGAGCTTGAGTGGAACATGAAATAATATAGTGCGTCTGTGTCCTGTATACCACTCAGCCTCTGGCCTTGTGGCATACAGGACACAGACGCACTACATTATTCCGTGTTCCACGAGTGCAAGCATAACAAATTTATCTTCAAGCAAACTTGACACTGAGCAAAGAAATTAAAGAGGCCTATGCGTGCTTTAAATCCAAAAAAGGAGACAAAAGATATACGGTGCACAGCAAAAACATTAACACTGATGTACCACTATTCTGCAATTTTATCTAGGGAACATGGATATTACTTGTGTTTTAACTCATTTCAATAACAATAAGCTTACACTAAGAACAGAAATTGTTAGAATAGTATGTGTCTTTAAACACGTGACGATCAGCATGCGACGATCGGCACAGGCAAACACACCACTTTTGATTTTACAGTCATGCAGATGTGCGTTTGCTATTAGTGTAAAAATAGCACAATCCGTTGAGTTAGAACAGCCCATTACACAATGTTTGATATGAACCATGCAATACAGTTAAATATCATACTGTTTGTTGCTATGGATCGACCAATCAGAATGGAGAATTCAAGTCTGCCTGAAGATAAAATACAATTATCCACTTCAAGTTAGAATGATACCAATCTTGAATAGCACAGGTTATAACTAGAATATTCAAACACATTGGTGTTAAATAAATCCAGTGTTACGTTGGCACCATCATCCAACCTTTATTTTACTGCAAGAGATGTTTTAGACATTTCTGTTGTAGAAAAAAATAAATTTTCCAATACACTTATGAGACTGTACATCCTGTGGTGTTTCCAGGATGCTTGTCGGTCTGTTCCACAGGAACTTCTTTAACAGGCTTCACGGTATCATCTTTATCATCTACTTTCTGAAATGCAGGGGAAAAACAGCAAAGGGGGAGGGCTGGTTAATTTTAAAGTCAACTAATCCATTCATAATTGGTCAATTTGACGCATCCCAATAATAATTTTGCAAGCGTTAAATAAAAGCCTTACAGCACTGAACCTGACTTATTGGCCACCGTTCACTAAACCATTTTGTTATATGGACTTATGCACAAGAAACAAGAATATTTTGCCACTTCATCTGCACAAAGTCCCCTTGCCAAATTTAGGCTACCCTTCAATGATGTACTAAATGTAATGTTTGCTCATGCACACTACATTGTAAAATTAATAAAAGTTGTCATAAAACAGCTAAAACCTGAAGGGAGACGTCATATCAACTCATTTCTTGTTGCCATAAGAATTTCCCGACCCCCAGCAAGTTAGGGTTAATCAGGATTTTCTACTTTTTACAAATCCTACCTTATCTGTTGAAGAAACAACAAAGCCTTTATAGACTGCAGCAGTCCACTCAGGATTTTTTGAAGGAACTTCATACTCCACGGGATTGGCTAACCCAAACTTCATTTTTGATTCTATTTCAGGAACTTCTTCTGGCACCTTCTCGTGATATCTACGTGAACACATAAATTTAAGAAGTAGGAGGAAAATCAACCGGACAAGCCATGTTCTCAGCCTATGCTATCTGATGTGCAGTACATCACCTACCTGAATACAGAATTGACAAAATACATGTACAAAAGCCAAATCTCTTGTAAAAATTTTTGCCAGGGTGAAGACATTTTTCCAATGTCTTTACATTTTTCAAGAAGACAGGTGGACTGCTACAAGTACCTGATTTCAACTACCTGGTCATGTGAAGAAAGATACATAATTTGTGTTTGGCATATACTCATCATACTTTTGGATTGAAATTACAAAAGGAAAAATATGGTAAAAATGAACAAATGAAAATCATACACAGAGAAGTCAACACCAAAGAATCCACTGTAAAAGATTACTGACCATAATGATGAAATGGTGTCTTAAAAGTGAGAATGCAATGGCAATGCAACAAACCACCCCTTTGCATTGCTACTCCTTCAGTGTTACATTGTATTGTGCCTGAAGCTTGCAAGTGCTCAGTGCTGCCTCTTTAGAACCAATCTACAAAGGCCCCAAAGTGTAAAGTCTCCTTTTGGCTGAAAAAGCCTCTCCAACCTCACAACATTCCCTCCTGTTGGGAACAGTGTTCATTCTAGATGGGCATGTATGTGTCATACTCCTGAATGAACACTGCACTTTATCCCCAGAAGCACAGCTGACTGTCTTCCTGTTCTACACATGAAAGAATGGAGTACACTGAGCTTGTACATGCTATTCGCATATTACGAATAAGAAAAATGTCAAATTGGAAGGATCTTACTGTAGTGAATGTAGTTTTGACAGTTTGGATGAAACTAATGTCACGACTCAAAAGAATGAAGAGAATAGAAAGGCAAAGCTGCAGTGACTCACAGCTTCATATGAATCTCAATTTCTTTACTGCAAAATTAGCTCATGTTAAGAGACATCCAAGCAAATTACAAGTAACGTTGCTAAATAAAACAAGGAAATCATACTAATAAAGTGCAAGCTTTCATATATTTTTCACAAATTCCATCATCCCATCCATCTCCTACTCCACCCCATTCCAACGATCTCCAACTCCATTCCATCATTCCATCCAACTCTACCCCAATTCCATCATCCCATCCATCTCCTACTCTGCCCCCATTCCATCACCCCATCCATCTCCTACTCTACCCCCATTCCATCACCCCATCCATCTCCTACTCTGCCCCA